TAATAAACTCATATACGTGGATTAAATTATCCCTACAAATATTATTAATACATAACAATACATAAATAATAATATTAAATCCTTATATACTTTAAAAGGAAAAAGAAAAATGAAATAATAAGTATAGGAAATAAATGAAAGGATAGTGGAGAAAAAGACAAAAAGTAAGTTAAAATTCTATGTCTAGCTTTTTTATATAAGTATGAATATTTTAACTCATTGTTCGAACAAGTTTGACATCAACTACAGCTTAAGATGTTAATGCTGATCCGAAAGTAACCTACTTAAATTACAAAACTAAGGCTAGAAAAAACGGGTTAAACTTTATACTATTCCTATTATATCGATATAAATTCTTTGTGGCTTATTAACTTGCAATAATTTCACTTTATTTTGTAGTATTCTGTACACGGATAAAAAGGATGTCACGGTAACAAACGAGTATCGTGACATCCGCAATTCTTCATGTAAATTAAATAATTGCGTTATTATTTTGTCTACGTTCACATTTCAACCTTAAAATGTGCATCGATCGATAAATTTTATACGAAAAATGCGAAAAATAGTTATCATTTATTAAATTTAAGATCTTTTTAGATGGATGGATGTACTTAATTTGATATTTGAAATTTTTGGTGATTTCTACTTACCTAGCATTCTGTTGACTTCTCCTTTTTCAGTCATCATCGTCGTCGACGTCTTTCATGGTTCTGAATCTGAAGTTTAAAATAAAATATTAACCACATTAACCATACGGCACACATACCGAGTAAATGAGCATAAGAAAGCTGTACGATTTCAGGGTTTTAGTACAGAGATTTTATCACTAAGATTTAATAGGAGATATTTCCTATTTGTGACATTTATTTCACAGGACATGTTTTGGTATTTTGTGTAATTCTTCATTATTTGAACTATAGTACCAAAATCCCTAACGCTACAATTCTTACCTCGATATCACACTGCGCTCTCCGCACCACAATTTACTACACAACAATTAACTATCACTAGGCACTAAAAACTAATACAGTGTAAGCAACAGTATAACAAATATACGATAAACCGGAATTGTTTATTATTCACATGCTTTTCACTCAATATTAGGACATTTTCCGTGTAAAACGAGGAATTAAAGATTTTTCTAGTGATCGAGGCATCTTGTTGAGGGTTGAAGGCGAGTCACGGAAATACACGAATGCCTCCGATAGACGCCGAATGAAAATATCACCGTGGACCGGATTTAGGTGCTATGGTGATGTTATATTATGCTCATAATGATTTAAAACAAGTACCTGTATAGGTCTTATACATAGGAATATTTATATAGACGATTAAAGAAACAGAAGTTGTAATTTCAGAATATGCATTAGATGAATAATACTCCTTTTAAGGTTTAAAACACGTTATTAGAAGCAGAGCCATATCCATTCATTCAGAACAATCGTTGAACCAGATATTGGTGACTTCCAAATGAACTTTAAAACAAATAAATGTGAAAACAATTTTGAATTCGGTCCTGTGCAATTTTCACCACCCTGCAGTGAGGTCGTCGTTGAGACGCCATATTTTTCACGCATGCGCCTTAATTTTCCTAACTTAGCACAATTGCTAACATTACTTGCAAGTGTAACTGGCTTATCTAAATTTATAAAGTGGAACATTAAATGAATATACTTTATTATTTCAAATAATATAAATGGAATATTGAAATTTGGCTCTGCGACATTGTATTAAGGAAAAGGCAATTCCTGCTGCGCGCGCATTCAAGTGTGACGTCTCCACAAGCTGACAGCGGCTAGGATCAATATGATGACGTCACGCCATTCAAAGTCGACTATAAGATTGCACTTTACTTCCTGATACGGAAATAGGCGTGCAGCTTTTTAGAGGGCTTGATTTCCTTTCTTTAGGGAAATACTGGTGATTTTAATTTCTACCGCTATTTGGTGACGTTATAGTATTTTTTCAGCATTGATGTCTTTAAAAACTTATTTTTATTTCCTTATTCAGTTGCCATTTCTATGTTATATTCCTATTAGATCGACATAAATTATTTGTAGCTTATTAACTTGCAATAATTTCACTTTGTTTTGTAGTATTCTGTACGCGGATGAGAAAGGATGTCACGGTAACAAATCTAGAGAAAAAAAATTGTACATTAAAATCTTGACTCAAAACTTTATCTCAATGGCGAGCTGTTTTGGTAAAACTTCATAAATTCTTTGTAATACTCTACTTATATACCACATACGTTCCTTGCTTACAATACTTCAGCGTCTCTTCTAAATGCGCCAAAACAGAATATACATAGATAATTTTATGACGTTCCGAAACTATGGAAACATAAAGCCTTAGTATTCCTAATTTTTGCCAATATAATTTTTTCAAAGCCTAATTTGAGTGCTAATTTAGAAGTCGATGGCAAGGCAGTTGATACCTATACTCAATTAAACGATGCGCAACTACTCGATCAGTGAACAGGCCCCAAGGCCAGCCACATGCCCCAAAAGGACTTCATTGGCATTCAATGATAATCTATACACAGGAGACTGAAGAATAGTAGAATAATAAATAGCTATAGTGTACGTTGTATAACAATATCTGTCTATTTTCTGGAACACTGACACAATTTAGTTGTCTCAAATTTTTTTACACGAGGTTGTTATTTTTTCTTTCAGGCGACTTCGGTGATTTCTCTATTAGATACATATACTGAGAAAGTCATGTCACAACTAAAACTATTTAAAGTAATAACAATAGGAACACGACAAACTTATCTGTAGAATGTAGAGACCAGTGTGGAGCCGTGGTAGCCTCTCTCAAGCCGAGGTCGTTTTTCGGAATTCATTTGAAATTAACAATGAACTTTTCGGTGAAAGAAAACATCGTGAAGATACCTGCATGTCGAAGATGGTTCACAACATTAGAAAAATGTGTGAAGTCCCCAACCCGCATTGGACCAGCGTGGCGGATTATGGCCGAAACTCTCGCCTGAGAGGAGACACGTGCCCACATGAGGAATGTATAAATAAGTTAATGGTACCTCATCAGTTGTAGAGACTAGTAATTGCCTCGTCCATTCGTTGTTCGAACAAAAATGGAATATCCTTCTTGCAATTTGTTATGACAAAAAAGGATTACATTTAAAAACGGGGCAGTCGTCGGGATGATGAGGAAGACGTATTTCTAGCTGCTTACAAAAATATCACTACACAAATAACCACCTTTATTAGTTTAGTTCCACACCTGAATACAGACTGCACTAATGAACAATTCGTACCAACTGACTGATTAAGGACGTTCTACACTAAAACACACGTAATCTGACTTTGGAAATGTAACCTAAATGTGCAAGGTTTAAAATATATTTTACTATGAAACAGTACCTCCTGAAACTAGAGGTTGTTTAAAACCAGTTCTAAAGGAACTGATAGCGCTAATTATTTCTGTAAAATTGTTAACTTGCATTTCATAAATGATTTGGAACGAACTATTTATATAGGTTTCTTAATACGTTAGAGCATTTCAAATGATACATCAGCACTTGAAATCAACTAAAGAAATCTTATTGAAGGAGTTATGAGAGACGTTAGTTATTAAAACAAGGCACAGGATTTTGAAAATAAACATACTGTAATATGAGATTTTTTTAACATAGTTGGTAACACATATAACAAAATCTCACAAAAAAGCAAAAAGTGTAAAGTGCAACAAATGATAATGAATGATAATCACACACGTAATGGGCGCGTAACTTTGGCCCGTGGCAGCGGGAACCGAACGAGATTCTCAACTGGTTTATTTTAGCGCTGGCTACCATCGGCCGTGAAACATTGCAAAGGTGTATGTAGGCAGCTAGTCATTCAATTATGATGACCAATGTCGTTCATTGACTGCCGAAAGACATCTCGTGTGTCATTGTCGGAAAACAAAAGCGAAACCATTTATTAACGCTTCTGGAAAAGTTAGTTCAATCAATTTCCATCAAATTTTGTAAACAAGAAACTGACTAACTGACTTATTAGAACAGTAAAAACGAAAAGATATTGAAACAATACAACTCAAACTTATAACAAAAAAAATGTACGTTAGTAAAGAGAGCGTAGTTTAGAACAGTAGATAATTAATATATACTTTTAGCAAATAAACAAAGCAGAATGTAGAGCACGAATGATACGATTCAGTATTAAAGTATAATGGTGATACTTTATACTAACAATGGAATCTGTGTTTATACAAGTTAGTGACGTGAAGTTAGTGAAACTAGTATAAATAGATTTTACACGGTCACTCTTATTTAATTTTGACTCAACAAATTACATAAGTCTTCAATCTGGACGATGCACGCGGTGGACTTTTATTGTTCACATTTAATTTAATTACGCTTCTTGCATTTATGCGACGAGGTCCACTTGAGTTGTATTCATTGACATACATTACGTACCTGTCTGTTATATTTTAGTAAATGCGCCAAGTATTATGTGACACGTATCACGTATATTATGACAACCATATCAAGTATTCGTATAGAGCAACATGACGAATAAAAAGATAAAAAACCGTAAATTCAGTACATCGATAGATTTAATCGACGTCAGGTGAAATGAGGATTATGTTCATTTATAGACTGTTTAATTCAATTATGAACTCAATTATATAGTACATGTTACCTACCTACCATAATTGACATTATTTAACATTAAATACAATTTGTGATATTCCTAACACTTCCACTTATATAACACATATTGTAATATATCATTAATAGAGTACATTTAATACCAAAGTTTTGTTATTACATTCAGAAGAGAACAAAGTAGATTCTCATAAGGGTACAATCGTATATAATACTGTCTAATCTATGTCTCGGTTGCACCGTGTGTCAGAGCAATTGGCGTAATCGTCACAAATTGACTGAGCTCCGTTTCGCCAGTCAGTTGATAACCACACAAACCATTTTGTGTCGAATAATGCATCCATGGTTCAACTAATATTTGTATTTAATTGACTAAGCCCTTATTTCTTTGGTGATAACGTTTTATCTAACCACATTAGTACTTGTTCAATTTTGACGAACACACGTGCTTTTGCTATGTGAAATTTATTTTAAAAAAAGAGTTCTGTGATATTTGTTTGTTCAGCTGACTTTTTGTTGTGAGAAAATGGTTGAAGGATCTGTAGATCTACAAGAGCTGCAGAAGTTAAGGTAATATTTTCATTGATTGCATTTCATTTCAGTAATATCTTTGATTCTCTTTGTAAAACAATCTCATCTATTCTATGGGCTCTGAAAATTATATTTTCGATTTCGCTTTACTCGTACTGCATTAATTACATCTTAACTGTAATAACATTGTTGTGATAATTTTTGTACCATATTGAGTTTATACTTTAATCCGTCATGCGTGCTATAGAGACACACGGTGTCCCTGAAGATTTTGATACTGTGGCGTTTTAGGGCCACATGTTGTCTCTAATGCCCAGCTGTGTTTGCACCCACCCTTAAAAAAAATCGTTAAGAACGATTTACGGAAAGATAATTTCTGTAATTAGACTTAAATTGTTTGCAAATATTGCCACAGCGATGATGTTAAAATGCGAACAGGAATGAAGAACAAGATGAGGCGCGAAAAACAGAATCGGAGAGAAAGTTTCGATTCCTCCTTGAACCAGCACTGGTCGGGGCCATGGTTGCCATCAATCTAGGGCAGACTTCCCTGCAGAACTTTTATTTGCGCACAGCTTGCTCTGTGGATTTAGGATATAGCAAAGACATATGCGACTCATTGGGAGGAGGACATTACGAGGTAGGTAGTTTTAGAATGCATAATAACTGTTATCACGGAAGTGGAAAATAACCAGACCAACATGAAAATAAATTGAAAAATGTCTTTATTGTTTTACACAAAATTAAACTCGTACCATATATTACCTACAGCCCCCACATGTTACTGAAGACAGTTTCGTTAAAATAAGATAAGACAAAAATATATGTATACTCTAGAACATTTTCAAAATAAAAGCAAAAATTAAATCAATACCTGTGTTGGTATATGTCACATGTCACGTATGTAACAGTTACATATGTCCAAATGATAAGAAAAAATGTTGAGGTAAAGAGCGCCGAAATAATATAATTGAAAGAAGGTAAACGATTTACAATGTCGTACCTCATATAGATGAGATGTGGTAGCCTAGTGTGAGAATAGTAGTTTCTCATCGAGTTCTTAGGTTTTCGAGTTTATTATACATTGAAAATGATATTAGGTATTTTTTCGGATCTAAATCGCGTACGTATATTTGTTTTTAGAAAGAAAGAACGAAAACTGTTTAATGCACAGACACGCATATAAGCAAAAAAAACAGGACAAAAATAAAAAGTTTAAAAGAATATTAAAACAATTTTACATGAACAAGCAGTAATTTATCGCCATGCGTGTCGCGGCTGGTACAAACGGGACTTGCTCAGCTTTAGCCACAACTGGTTTTTTTTAACCGTACCATGACGTTGATTTTCAGAAAGTTCGGGGCAAGTGAACCACAGACAGCAATAAAAAAATATAAACAAAAAATAAATAAACAGTTACAAACAAACCAATTTGGGCACTTTTTAGATCCCATGGTCACGTTTGACTAGTTTCATTTCCAATGTAGTTTCTCAATTCGAGAAGTCGGTGGTTCTAATTTCTGTGGCGCCATATAACATACCTATAACTTTCATTTCTAATTTACCTATATTTGCGAATGTTTAGTAACAATACCCTTGCTAACGGTGAAAGAAAACATATTGATAAAACCTGAACGTCGAACAAGATTTACAATCCTTGGAAAACGTGTGAAGCTCCCAAGGGGTGTGTAATGGCAGATATAACTACAAATAATCTATTTTCACTTGGTATAATCACATTTAATATAATTTCTAAGGATATAATCACTCACTGTATATAATTAACAAAAGGTATAACAACAAAAGGTATAATTTCAATGTGTATAATGAACCTTCAGTATAATAAACATTAGATATAACGATTAAGTGACATAATGAAGAAATGGTATAAATACTACCAGTATAATGTATTAAATAATATAACACAATATTTCGTTTTACGAATAGTTGAAGCGCCCTACATTATGTTGATAAGAATTTTTTTATTCCATTAAATGTACAATCGCAAAATATAATTGTTTTTGTATAGCTTTAAGTGCTTTTTGTGTTATAAAATATATATATTAAAACTTTAAGCAGAATATTTAATTGCATACACTAACCTAACCTAAACCCACCGGAAGAGGTCGAACCAACTAGCAAATGCAAACAAATTCGATTCTGTCAGCT